TTGTCTGGCTCACTAGGTTTATCTATCTATATATATATATTCCTTAATAGATTTTTTTAAGTTGAATATATTCTGCACATTTAAAAAACAGTGAAAGAGTATATTTGATAGTTTTCAGTCATTGTTCTTGGTTAGATTGAGAACTTTCCATTAGATACATAGAGAATGAGATATACTGATGTTTTTCTCTTTCTTTCCTTTTAGATCCCTTTTCCCTTATTTCCCTTTCTTTTTCTCCCTTTTTTCCCTTCTTGCCTTTTATTTAAATTTTTAAATATTTATTTTATTTTATCTAACTTTAATTTTTGTTGACAAGCTCTTGCAGAGTGAAATGGCCATTCAGATGAGATATTCTTGAATTTCATTTATTTGTAATTTATATATATATATATATGTTTTTTTTTATAGATAGATAGATAGATAGATAGATAGATAGATAGATGTATGTTTGCCTTCTGTCTTTTTCCATATTGTCCTTTTACAGATATATTCTATCTGATATTTTTACATTGGGAACTATACAAATTCATAAATAATTACACTAGGCACATCACCACTCACTTATCAAGATGGCTGACCCTAGCAGAGCTCCATATACAAACATTTAAACAAGTGCAGAAACAAACCTGATAAACTTCTGAATGCAAAAATTCTCCCAAAAGAATGGAAGCCCTTATCATAAAAACAAAAAAAAAAATATAAGCGATGTCTATGTGCACAATGTCATATGAAAGTCAACTCCTCACAACCTTTTGTTCTGGTTAGAAGGGGGAAATGCCGGCATATATATTCTCAAACAGCTTCAGGAAATTGCATACCTCTCAAATAGGAAATTTTATCCTTTCCATGTTCACCTTTCTTTACAAACCAAAGCATTAACCTAATAACTTGAGTCATGTTCTTTCATATGGATTTCATGTAAGGCATGAAACTTGTTCAGAAATATCTGAACTCTCAGATCAATGGTTAAATCATAAACAAAAGCTGTATCAAGTAACAGAAACCATATCACTTGAGGATTTTCAATAACAGCAACAACTAAAATAGATTCAGGATAAGTGATTTCACTTTTTCTTTTTATGTGCCATGTCCTTTCAGAAGTAGGCAATCATGGCTCCATCCCTTTATTCCTTGTATCTATCAAAAGTTCCTTCCCTCTGCTTCCTCCCCCAGATTATGCTCTGTTATCTACTTGGTTAAGCCCACCAAATATTGTTTTCCCTTGTCTTGTTTCCCTCTATTCAACCTGTGAGTATCAGTTTCTCCAGGCCCTCCTTCTTCATTATGTGTCCCAGAAACTTCAGCTGCCTCTTCCTGATGTTAAGAATAAGCCTTGTCCTTGTTTGCATCCTCTCTAAGATCTCAATTTTGCTCACACGCTCAGTCCATGATATCCTTAGCATTCTGTTGAACCACATCTCTGTTGCTTCAAGTCTCTTCTTCATAACTTGAGGAAATCGTTCAACATTTGCTGCTGCAAAGAAGGATATATATCTTGCCACTATTATTACAATTCAAGATCATTAAACGAGGATATTGTGTTCATTATGTTCCTTTAAGTTCAAGTACCCTTGGGAAAGATATGAATCCACCATTTCTACCCCATCTTCAGTCACTATCCACCCACTGAAATGTATAATGCCAAAATCAGGAGACACATTGCGACAAATAAGATGCCTTCCAAAAGGAAAACAAAGCAATAGGACAATTTCATTGGAAACAAAGAAAAGAGTAATTAATTGTTATATAATATTAGACCTCTTATATGAGAGTAAATGCTGGCCAATTACTGATCGCTTATGGCATAAAACTGATAGCCAGCATCAAATGTTGATTTCTGTATCTAATATTTATTCATCACTCTGTCTCAACTGTTTGTTTCTTTGTCTTTCTTCGCACACACACACACACACACACACACACATATAATCGAATCTCCCATCGAGATTCGACGTATGAGGGTCAAGCAGATCAGTTTCCAGGAAAATGATAGCCTGACACCGGCACATGAGATTTGATTATAGTGGTGAAGGCTTCGTGCAGGACCATCCACACTTTTTGAAGGGACGAATACAGAGACCTGGTGCACCTAATGCCACAAGGTTCCCAAACGACCCTCCGCAGGTTTTGAATTCAGAGTTGTCCTTCTCCTAGACCAGTTGCCATCCAAGGCTATAGAACCCAGTCTGTCCTGCTATTTTACCCATAGCTGGAGGGAGAGGAAGAGGATTCATACCTTTCCCAAGGGTATTAGCACGTAAGTGAATGTAATGGATTTGACTAGAATTTGAACTCGGCTCAATCCAAGCTGCTACTCATTACTCCACCGTGCATCCTACTTATATGAGAGTAAATGCTGGCCAATTACTTATCGCTTATGGCATAAAACTGATAGCCAGCATCCAATGTTGATTTCTACATCTAATATTTATTCATCACTCTGTCTCATCTGATTGTTTCTTTGTCTTTCTTCGCACACACACACATATATATATATATATATATATATATATATTAAACAGTCTGTTGGCATATAATTCAAGTGGGTCCTAATAATATAAAATATTAAAACTGACCCACAAAAGAGCTTAATATATTTATTATAACAGAGCATATAAACTACACAGCTGATAAATCCAAAATTACCTCATGAGTATAGTCTATTTCAACTGATGCTGAGTATGTCAATCTTCTTCAACTCAGACAGATGGACTGCATTCATGTTGGAATTTGAAATTTAACAAGTTGAAATTTAACAAAGACAGAAGTTGACAAATTGGTACAGAGCCTGCCCACATCAGAGCCTCGGCAAGACAGATTGCATGAGTGGTGGTCAGGGGAGGGCAGAAGTTGTCTGTCTTAAAAGGAAAGAAGCTCCGCAAGTTCAACCCAGATATTAACCAGAAGTCCTCAAATTGGGGTTATCAGAAAGATGAAGTGTTAAAATGAAACTAAAAGAATGCTGAAAAAAAAGGAGTTTGTGAAATGAAATTTATAATTAATAATTATATAAAAAAATTGGTTCACACTAAAAAATACCAAAATATGCTTACAAGACATATAACAAGATTAACAATAAATCATATTAAAATATATTAAAAAAATTATATTATTAAGGAATAAAAATAAAAATAATTTAAAGACATATATATTATCAATTTAAAATTTTAAAGATAAGTTAAATTATTATGAAAACAAACCATACCCAGTAATACAGGGTGTTTCAAAAAATTTGATATCCTTTGAGATGTAAATATCACAGAAAGTACATGATTAAGGCAAATGAAATTAAAAAGTATTAATGTTGAAGATGATAAGATTTATTCTTCCAAATCTGAATGAGAAATTCAAAAGCATGTGGATTATGTGAACGATTTAACAAATGTTCAATATGCCCACTGCCTGAGACACGGCATTTTTATACCTGTAAAGAAAAAGATTAAAAATTAAAGAACATAAAAATACAAATAAGAAAAACACAAAAACATAAAGACATAAAAACATAAAACAAACATTAAACATAAAGATGCTATTAAAATTTGAAGTCATTTGAAGGAGATCTAACAAATTTATTAGATTGCGAAATGATATCAAATTTTTTGAAACACCCTGTATATTAAAAAAAAATTTTTTTTAAATATATGGATAAAGAATTGTAAGCAATCTAAGAAAAGGGAGTTCTTAAAGTAGTGGATAGTTATGAGATAGGATTGATATGGAGAAGATAAAATATAGAAAAAAACTATAGTAATATGTTTAACATTAGAAGGTTTAGATAAAGTAAGATTAATAATATTATAGAAGTTTAAATCTACCTCTATGACAACATTTTAAAACTAATTCAATGCTTTGATTTAATAATTTGCTTTGATTATTCAATTTTATTATTCTAATTTTCTCTTCTAAACATAGGTCACACCTCTTCCTAAGACTATTAGGAGTGTGAGCAAAACCTATAATTTTCTAGTCAATCTGAGGGTTCAAACCTTTCCCCTTCAATCCCCAAAATTTTTTGGAAAGAGCTGTCTGATATTTTAATTTGGGGTTGATAAAAGAGTGCCTATCAGTGTAAAGTCTTTGTTTCCATTGCTCCACGAAAATTCCAATGTAAACATTATGATATTTAGCCTATTTTCTTTGGGGTTAATGGTTGCTCGATATATCGCCTTAGTAGATCTGCATTTACCCTCAACTGGACAATTTTCTTTATTTCTACAATTACAGTGGGGTTCCACATCAGGTTTATTGTTTGTCACATAGAATTTACTTAAAATATAGTTATTACTGGAGTTGATAATTTTGTACGTGTTATAGGTACAGGAATAGCTAATTTTGATTGTTTTCCAATTGAAGATTTTATCCAGTGGGTTGTTTTTGTGAAAATATTTATTTATTAACTTTAGAAAATGCTTTGCGATGTTAGTATTGGATAGTTTACAGAAGTGGGGGTTTTCTATTTCTATGTCTACAACCTTTTTTAGATACTTCAGTGTTACTTATAAGTAGAATAATTTATTTTTAATTTAATATATGTATATATATATATATATATATATATATATATATATATATATATATATATTTTAGCATCCTTATTTGCTTAGTGCTACAAATAATATGAAGTTGAGGAGTGTTACGATCACCCACATCCTGAAGTGAAATGATGCATAGAAGAAACATTTGCAAATGTCTTTTCTACCACTTTTGTCATTTAAACACACACACACACACACACACACACACACATATATATATATATATATATATATATATATATATATGTATATCAGTGTTTGTTTATATGTGTAAAATTTAAATAAAAGAATGTTACTAATATTTTTATACATATATGCAAATATATGTATGCTATTTTTTAAGCATAACTTAGATGTAACAAGGTCAAACGTATCAGGCAGTCAAGGAGGATTGAGCTCACTAATCAGTCATAATTGTTCTAGTGACTAAGCCTTATAACCATTACAAAGTGACAAGGTGCCCAAATGCATATATATATCTGCATGCATATCTATCTATCTATCTATCTGTCTCTCTCAGATTGTTCATATGTCTCTAAGTCTCTTCATATCTATCTATCATTCTATCTATCTTTATATCTATTTTTATCTATGTGTGAGCGTGAGTTTATATAGGTGTATATCATTTTTTCTGTATATTTTATAGATGTGAAATATACATACATATATATATATATTACTATATATATGTATAGAGATATCAGTAAACATGCTTTTTTAATTTTATGCATGTAAACACACACATACATAGATACATCTATCTATCTATCTATCTATCTATCTATCTATCTATCTATCTATATATATATATATATATTTATATTTATATATATATATATATATATAGAAAGAGAGAGATAGGTAAATAGCTATTTGCCTATATAAGCATGTTGATATATAGGTGTGCATGTGTGTGTTTGCAATTATAAATGTTAATAAACAAAATTTGTACACAGGCACAGACATTGATATATATATATATATATATATATATATATATATATATGAGAGAGAGAGAGAGAGTGCGTGAAAGAGATAGATAGATATAGATATAGACATACATACATACATGCAAAAAGAAAAGTTTAAATCACACCAGAACAATTCTTGGAGAAACAGTACATAAAAGAATGGTCGCCTAAAGCAACGAAACCATCCTCTATATCTTCAACACTGACGTATACTAGTTCCATTAATCTCATTAATATTCGAATCCAACAGTCATGAGTGGTTTGCCAGACTCAAGAAGAGTTTGGCTAAAAAGCCTCTGAATGCGAAAGTAGACAGCACTGGGGATGAGTACTGTAGAGCGCCGATATTGCTGATAAATAGGAAAATAGGATATAAGCCCCTCGGTGGTGTTAGGTTTATCGAGGTGTACGCATTCTGACAGATAATCTCAACTTGTCAGCCTCAGAGAGACTTCTAATGAATTTTAACCGCACATCGAGAAGATGGCTGGCTGCAGCCTCTCAAAGACATCTTAGCTGGTACCTATCGACCAGACAATGTCCTAAAGAATTGCGGGTGTTGGAGAAGAATGGCTGCTTGAGAACCTACTTCGAAAAACAGCCCCAAAGATGTTGTTCTACAAAGACTAATTGGTTTCCATACTGTCAGCTGTAGTAATACCATATATATATATATATATATATATATATATATATATATATATATATATATATATATATATCAATATATACACACATATATATATATATACACACACATACATACATGCATACATAAATATCCACACACACACACATATATATATATATATACCAAATATATACATATATAAATATATACACATATACATACATATATATATATATATATATATATATATATATATATATATATGTATGTATGTGTATATATATATATATATATATATATATATATATATATATATATATGAAGAGATGCTGAAAAGTTTGTGACCTGAACAACTTTTAAACTCTGTATTTTAATGACCAAATATCAGACTACTGAATTTATTTGGAAAATATTCTTTCACTATGCCATCTTTTGTTTTAGATTTTTTTACTTAAATGTTTTTATTGTCACAAGGAAAATTTTGGTAGAAACAAACGAAAGAGTACTGAACTCTTATGTAATATCAGTCCTCCTATATGCTGAACATATTCTTCACAGATGAAGACTAAACCTGGGGTCATAAAAATATGGTTCTACAGAAAGATACTGAGAATACCATGGACTGAACATGTATGCAATGGCAGATTTTAAATGCAGATAAAACGGACAGTTACAATTAACATCAAAAAGAGATAGTTCATATTTCCAGGATGCATAATGTGGAAAGAAATTTTGAAAAAATTTCATACTCACTTTAGTTTGAATTTTAATTTTAGATTTTAATTTAGTTTGGAGTTTTCATTTGAATTTTTCACTTGAATGGATAAATTGTTATTGATTTTAATGTATAAATTGTCCCCCATATTTATTATTTTTGAGAAAGACAGAGGGTTGTAATGTTTGAAGACATGAAGAATTTGTTAGCATCCCTGCCTCAAAAGTCCAAAGAAAGATTAGAAGAATTTCAGAAATAAATAGATAAAAATAGCCAAGTGTTAATATGTCCTGATGTGCTACACTTTTGGTATTTTAAAATAATTTATCTGGAATGATATTCTAAGACAATACTTAACTTTAATGTTGAACTAAGATTTGTTTAGGAGCATCTCATATGAAAAGTGTAGTTTTAATTATGGTCTTCTGATTACTTGGTCCATATTCCTCCACCTTTTCTTGGACATGAGTAGAGGCTCATCCCTTGTTTGCTGTTTAGAAAGGATTTTACAGTTCCTTTCTTCTTCTGAGGCCTAAATAATGATGGTGGTCAAGAATATTTGGTGATATGAGTGGATGGTGGCTAAACTCAGTCAATTATCTCTACTTTCTTTACCATTCCCTTTCCCCTCATGACTGTTGCGTGCTAGATAGTATTTCAGATAATTTTGATAAAGCCCTCTCTCTACACTCATTTGAAAATATAGGTGACTCTTCTACTGACCTCACTGACATCCAAAGCTCATACTTTTCTATTAATCAATCTCTCACGTAGACTTCCTGTGTCTCCCCAGTGATTCTAATGGACATGTTCCTCTACTTGAAATCTTCTTTACCTTTGACTCATGTCAGACTCTGCAGCTCTGTCCTCTTGGCAACTCTGATCATGCGGTAGTGTCTGTAGATATTTCTTTCTGCTTTCTCATCAGTCATGAACCTCCAGCATACAGAATATATTTCCATTATCAATGTATTGACTGGGGCTCATTCAGTGACATCTTTCTCAATGACCCTTAAATGTGCCACTGAGGTCGCCGCTTGGATCAAAGCTTTCATTCTTGCATGGAATTACCAAGTAAAAACACAATTTTCTCCTTGGTTCTCACTTACATGCTCAGCCACTGTAACCAACAGTAAACACTTCTGGCTGTACCAGAGCAACAAGTTTGACTGTAACAGGCACATCTTTGTCACTGCTCGTAATGAGTGCAAGCATGTCCTCAAAGGTTGTTAGTGTTTGCTGATAGAATGAAACAATGTCTAGCCTCTGGCATGTCTGGTTCTAGATTTTACTGGTGTCTCTGCAGTGGTGTGCTGAACAATAGTAAATCATCAGTTCCTCCTCACTTCAATCAATTTGTAGTATAGCAGATAAGGTACAGTGCATTTCTCAGAAGTTTTCTTCCAACTTATCTAGTGTACCCCTGTCTAATCAGAGGCTTTACTGAATGAGATGCATATAATCCTGTCACTGGTTTCAGATATGAAATTAGATCCCCACAAGGCAAGCAGATGTGATGATATATATATATGTAACTTAAAAACATTTGGAAAGAATTAAGACATAGAGAATACGCAAAAGATTATTTAAAAAGAATGTCAGCTGAATTGTGAGAACGATGTAGCATTTCAGTAAGAATACAAACACACAATGAGAGAAGATTCTTGTGTATCACTGCAGTGAAATATGTTTTGTCAACCCAGAGTGAATGACTAATCACCAGCCATGTGATGGACACCTTGCCATTTTCAAGGCTTTTAAGTCCAGGTGCCTAAGGAAATAAAGAACACTATTGTCTGCTCATCAGGAAGAAAAATGAAGGTCGTGTTCTTGCACTTTTGAACTGAGTATGGTCAAAAGCAATATAACTGAGAATAAAACCTGTGTGATTACCCCGCCTTGTCTACAAATGGACAACATTCAATGCCCACTAGATGGTGTAAACAGTGACAGTCCTTTGGTTGCTGACATCTCGGGCAAGCTGATCTTTGAACCATTAAAAGTACACACCATTGTTCAAATTAATTGAAACAACCACTTTAGTTTCTTTTCTTTGACTATATAGTCAGATTTACATGCACTGGAGTGACAGGGTGTAATCGATTTCTATTTTTTACTCAGATTAGGTCATTTGGAGTAGTGTGCAGTAATATGAATTAGTTTTCAGGGTTTATGATGAAATTTGTTTGGCCTTGAAAAATATTAGTGTGTTTTTTTAATCCCTTCATCAATGGATGGTTGCTTCCCTATCCTGAGGAGGAACTTGGTCCCCCAAAAGGCCTGATTACATTGATGGCCGTTTATAAACAGAATAAGTCTAAGGTGCGCCCAGTGCTGGACTTTCGTGAGTTGAACGGATACGTCAACGCCTACACGGCACAAGCCAACATCTGTGCACAAGAGTTGAGAGAGTGGAGAAAGAAAGGCTCCAATGTGTCATTGCTGGATCTTCGAAGGGCCTATTTACAAGTCACATCAAGGGGGCTCCTTATTCCTTACTGTATGCCAAAGTGTCCTATGAGGAATCTGAGTTTCTATAGATGTTCTACTTACATAATTTCTGGGCTTTGCACAATGTTTTTGAACTTGATTGACGATATCTTCTGATACTACTGGTTGACAAGATCCCTTTGCTCTGCGCGGACAGATTTCCTCTTTGAATTTTTTGTCTAATGTCCAAATCTGCTTTCCAATTGGTGCCTTTTTCTTGAAATGCATGCTGCACAATCTTGTTTGACTGTTTTTTGAGCCTTTTCATTTCTAATGAATGTCATTCTTCAGTCTGAAAAAAAATTAAAGCTTAACAATAATCTTAGTTAATCTAACAATAACCTAGTGAATTAAAGATTAATCCACTAGAAATATTGTCACACTAATAAAGAGTGCACAAGAGCCAGAACGTTGTGATAACAAGAACAAAGATAAGGACAATATTTTGTAGGTAAATAGTGTACATAATGATTACTCCTCATCACAGAAATTGAGAGAGAAAATAATAATAATAATTATAACACACATGGACAGAACAATCAAAGCTAATCAACCAGACATTGTAATCAAAGACCACAAAAACAGAATGTGCTTTCTTATTGATAAACGACAGTTCCTGTAGACTGTAATGTATCTTTAAAGATCTTAGAAGATCTAAAAATACTATCAAAATGCAAGGATCTTTTTCCTTTTTTTTTTTAAGTGTTTCACCCCAAGGAAGGCGGGAAGCCACTAGGATGCAAGGGGTTACAGAAAATTTGGAGCAAGATCAGATAGGAGTGATAG